ATCGGCTGAGAAGGAAACAACCCCCCTGATAAGCTGGATCTCCCCCTCTGGGGACCAGCCTGACAGCCCCCACATCAGAGCACATCACAAGCACCAAAAAAAAAATTAAAAAGGTGAAATATATATTATTGGTTAATAACTAAAACCGCAGTCTGGTTTCTCAGCTGCAAAGAGCACATAGGTGGGGTCCTTAACATGAATCAGCATATGAAGTAACCTAGCTAAGGATTTCCAGAACCCAGCCACAGGGCCTGGAGACTTTCTGCATAACAAAGACCCGCTGGAGCAAGTGTCAGTTTCAATCAGCAAGGGGCTGCAGACTAGAGAGAGGGTGTGACAAGTTAATTTGATTTTAGTCTGGCTGGCCAGGGGGATAACAAATAAATAAATAAAAATAAATTAAAGGCTCTGCTCTAGAAGTAGGACACCAGCAGCTTTGATAGGACAACAAGCCCAGCTTCCCTTTCAGTCACTCTACACATAGCTGGGGAGACCCTGCCGGCCCTGGGGCCCTAGACCGGGCTCTGGGAACACCCCCGCCCCCGGCTGCAGTGCTACATACAGCACAAGGCAAGCATACCAGTGAAAGCCAGAGCTCAACGGACGCCTGGTCACAGGTGCAATCTAGACTTTGCAAATAATCCCACACAGCGTCTGTGGATCCCTACATAAAGCGGGAACAGCACCCCACTACCTGGAGGAAGAGTTGGAACTCCTGCAGCCTCACGGACAGGTTATCCAGCCTCAGTTAACACCTTACCTACTACTCTATTTCTTCCCCTCCGCATTCACTAGCATTTCTATCCTTCCCGCCCCAGTCAGTCTCGAGTTCAGCCAGTCTCAACGAGCTGCGGTTCTTTTTTCTCTTTCTTCTTTTCCCCTCTTTTTCCTCCTCTCTCCACTCCTATCATAAACCACTACTGACTTCCAGATCACTACCCTCCATTTAGGGCAAATCAACCCAGGAGGAACTCCAGCCCGCCCTCCGTGGGAGTGCTGAACACCACACAAGGCAGCTGGGACACGCACCTACACCGTGCTGCGCTGCTGAGGAAACCTCAATTGGACCTCTAGGCAAGCTCATCAACTAGGGCAACACTGCCCAGCACCACTGGGTCCCTGCATCAAAAGAGCACACCAGCCTGCCATTGTGAGGCAGGGTCTAAACCCCTTTGGCCCCACATACAAGCAATCAGGGGTCAGCTATCTCTTTATCCTTTATTTCCCCCTTCTCGCTCTCCTCCCTC